GCCAATCTGTGGATGACTGCATTTCTGGGGAGTACTGGAAACGCCAAGGTAACTAACGTCACCTTTGTCCGCCCCCTCCTTCCTCTTCTTTGTGCCAGGAAGAGGCACGAGGCACTTAGAAATAGGACTGCGTAGTACGCATCGTTTCATAGCTGCTTTTCTGACGAAAGCCCTGCCAGTGACAAAAATTGTAAGAATTTCTATTTTTATTTTTTTTCTGATAGTAGCTGCTAATGTATTGGCAACCATCTGGAAGGGATTAAGGAAGCTGCATTGTAGGTACTAACCCCTAAAATGTACCAGTTCAGATTTAAAAAAAAAAAAAAAAAAAAAAAAAAAAAAAAATGGCACCAACAAAAGTACCTCCGCAAAGTCCCTCCTTCAGCCGGAGCCGCCGCAGGCTTTTACCAGGAGCAAGGGGAGCGGGGCCCTCATTTTATCCTTTTCTCATATTTAGTGGCTCCCTTTGACGGAAACGTAATTTGTATAATTAGCCGAGCGCACACGGGCGACTGATGGGCTGTGGAGTGTGCAGCTCTCGACGCTAATTGCTCTCAGGAAAGGATTCAGGGCGGCTTAAGGCGAGAGATTTGCTTTCTAGCGTTAGGATGGGTAGCTTTCCCTTCAGCTTAAATCGCTGTGCGGGAAGGTGTACGCGGTCTTGCAAAAGCCCCTTTTCCAGGGGGGACGGAGCATCGCCGCCCCTGGGCTCGCCCGTGGCGACCTGCAAGGGTCAGATCCTGCCAACACGCCCGGGCGGCGGTGGCACGGCGACCGAATGCGAGCGCCCAGGATCGGGCCCTGCAAAAATCCCTCTTTCGTCCCTCGCTTTCTGCAAGCAAACTGGCGTTATTTTTTTTTTTCCCTCTTATTAATAGAAGAAGGGGTAATTTTGAAACGTTTCTCGTGGTCGAAATAATTTTATTTTATTCAGAATATACAGTTTAATTCCTCTATCTACAATTATTTACAGGGTTAAAATAACATTGAAAAAAAGTCTCTGGAAAAGTTGAGGTCATAGATTTCAAGGCACCATTGATAGTGTCCACAGCTGAGCCAAAAAATGTCCGTATTGTATAAAAAAGGCTTTCCTTTGAAATGCAATAAGTTACATGCACAAGCTTTACACATTTTAATCTTTTTGTTTGTTTCTTTTCCCTTTTAAAAATCCCCCATATGCATTCCTTTCGTTATTATTCCTTAACAGTAAAACACAGGAGTCCAAGGAACAGCGTGTGCGTGCGCATGGTGGCTGAGGGAGCGGGACGAGCCCTGAGGTTCCCAAACCGCAGGTGATTGTGGAGAGTTGCAGGCCATGGGGTCGCTGGAGCTGGGGCTGTGCTCCGGGGGCATCTCCCCGTTCTTCATGATCTTCTTGATCTTGGATCTTTTATTCTGAAACCAAATTTTCACCTGGGAGGAGAGGAGAGGGGAAGAAAGAGGGAGGGGGGAGGGAAACCGACACCATTAATGCCCGCTTGGCACGCCGGCGCTCCGCGGCTGCGAGGGACCCGCTCCCCGCCGCCCTCCCGGCCCCTCCGCGGGGCCCGATCCGGCCCTTCCCGCCGCGCCGAAGCGGACCCGGAGACCTGCACCCCGCCGGGCCGGGCCAGGCCGAGCA